TATGAGTTGACTTGGAGAGTAAAGGTATTTGCCACCAAGCTTGACCACCTTAATTACATCCCTCAGACCTAATGGTGGAAGGAGAGAACTAACTCCCAGAAGTCATTCTTTCAGCTCCACAGGTGTGTCATGGTACTGGAGGTCCCTCGCCTCACCCTCCTCCCTCTCTCTGCCTCTGTGATCTCTGCCAGACATTGCATAATACATACATATATGTAATTTAAAACACCAAGAAAATATATACATCCCCCACTTGTATCTGTTTTAAAATATGTTTAACATTTGTGTCCATTTCTCTTCTCCCTGCTAGGTTCTTTTTCTTGTTTTTCTTCAGCCTCATAAGACATAGGGAAAAACAAAGTGACCTATTAAACTGGAGTTAGCACTCAGTTCCCATGTATGACGTAATGGGACAAATGCAACTACAATGGTTCAACTACAAGGCTTTGTTCGTTTCTGAGCTCAGACAGACTTTTGTCACTTGGGTTTTTTGTTGTTGTTTCATGTATTTTAGTTGTTTTGTTTTTTTTTTTTTACTAAATGTTGTGTGTTACGTGCTGTCACTTGGGGAAGTCAGAAAACAGCTTCAGTTCCTTACTTCTTGCGTGCGGGTTCGTTCTGGGGTCCAACTCAGGTTGTCAGATTTGTTGAAGGCACCTTTACCCACTGACTCACCCATTTTGCCGACCTACTATGTTGTTATTTGTTGGTTTTTTTGTTTTGTTTTGTTTTTTGTCGTTTGGGTTGTTTTTTTTTGGGGGGGGGGTCCCAGCAATTTTTTTTCAGGCTTGTTTGTGGCATATATAACCCAGACTACCCATGAACCCTAAATCTCCTGCTTTAGTTTCCCAAGTGCTGGGATTATTATTTTTTAAAGATGTATTTATTTATTATGTATATAGTGTTCTGCCTGCATGTATGCCTGCACACCTGAAGAGGGCATCAGATCTCATTGTAGATGATTGTGAGCCACCATGTAGTTGTTTGGAATTGAACTCAGGATCTCTGGAAGAGCAACCAGTGCTCTTAACCTCTAAGCCATCTCTCCAGCCCTCTGGAATTATTGTTGCCCATTATTTTAGTCAGGCTGACTGTGACTTTGAAGACTAAATATTTGATCATTGTCCATGGAGTAGAGGGAAATATAGTGTATGTTCCCAAGCTGGTGCCAGTTTGTCTTTGCTTTATGTGTACGGATGCTGTGATCTTTTATCTGGTCTGCCATCTGTACTCAATAATCAGTTCTTCTGTTTCAAGATTGCTGGGTAAAGACTGATTTTCTTCATACAGTTCATTTGTGTCCATAGCTTAGTGCCATGATCATTGTAGTTTCAGTCTTTTGTTTATTTTAGACAAACTTTTATTTCCTTACTTAAATAATAAATAACTGTTGGACATTGATTTCAACTACTTTGATAAAATAGATGTATCATATTCATTAGTTATTTTTCCTATAGCTGTGATTAAATAAGAATCTGACAGGCAAGCTAAGGGGGAAGGGCTCATTCTGGTTCACAGATTACAGTACAGTCTGCTGTGGTGGGGAAATCAGGGCATCAAGCAGGTGAAGTAGACGTGCCTGTCGTCCAGTCAGAAAACAAAATGATGGGTAAATACTGATTCTCAGGTCACTATCTTCACTTTACATGGCCCAGAATCCTCTACCTAGGGAATGATCCTACCCACCATCAAGGTGGATGTGCCTACATCAATTAATGTAATCAACATAACCTCTCAGAAACATCCTCAAAGGCTAACCTCGGTCTAGATACCCCTCATGGGAGCCTGGGTCTTGGGCAATTCTATAGTCTGTCAAATTGATAATTAATATCAACCCAGCCCTTGTCAACTTGACACCCAGACTTATCGTCACTTTTAAGCCATAACCTTCCACTCTTTATCTCCACAGACTGCTGACCATGTTATAATGAGATATGTGTTTATCCCAACATCAAAACTGCCCATAGTCATTAAGCATATTTATATAATTTGAGATTCCAAAGTATCTTAACTGTGAGCTCCTATAAAATGGAAAACAAGTTACATACATCCAATATATACATTTATTTATTTACTAATTTGTTTTTCTTTTGTGTGCAGCAATGTTTTACCTGCATGTATGTCTGTGTGAAGGTATCATATCCCTCTGGAACTTGAAGTTACAGTTGTGAGCTGCTGAGAATTGGATTGGGTCCCCTGAAAGAGCAGTCAGTGCTCTTAACTGCTGAGCAATCTCTGCAGCTCCGCATAATTCCAAATTGTAATGATGCAGAGGGAACAGTCCTATTGTAAAATGGAAGAATTGGGTCAAGTTGTGATTGGACCAAAGTAAGATGCAAATCCTACATCCCTGTGCCTGACAGCTAAATCTGATGAAATCGTCAACATTCCAAAGGTTAGGTAGCCCCCACCACTCCAGAGCTGCCACCTGCAGCATGTGTAGCCTGTGTTTCTGACTGGCTTCTCTCTGTGCCTGTAGCTGTCCTTGGCAGGCAGCTGGGGTCGAGGTCCTGACATTTCGGTATCCGGTGGTCTCCAATGTCACTTTGACTTCACCTTCAGAGCTCCACACAGTGACTTCTAAGTCCCACTTTGCGGGACTTTGATTTTCCTATGTGGTCCCAGACCTCAACTATTCTGTATGACCTCCCTGTCTTACATCCTTCATTCCTTCAAAACTCATACCATGTGGATGCCACCATGTGGATGCCACCATGTGGATGCCACCATTTGGATGCCAGTGCCCAGTTTCACTGCCGCCTCAGCCTGGAGCCTCTGCTTTTGCCCTTACACCATCTTTCCTGTTGTTCCACTGCGCCCCAATATGTTTTCCTCTAGTGACACCGATATTTTTATCAACTACAGTTGCTCTCAGCATCGTTGATTTTCAAACATCCACAAACATTGCCCAAGATGGTCATGTTTATCATGTGAATAGCCCCAGTATAGGGTACCAGTTTTCTTGTCTCTCCTGGTTGCTGTGATAAAATAGCCTGGTAAAAGTAACTGGAGGAATTGACTGAGTTACATGGCAAGGAGGTCAGGATGTCAGGAGCTTGAATCAACTGCCCAGATGACCCACAGATGGGAAGAAGAACTTGATGAATGAATGAATGAATAAATGAATGAGTGAATATTGGTACTTAGCTCCTTTCTTCATTTTATACAGTTCAGGTTCCCCTGCCTAGGGAATGCTACTACCAACACTTAAGATGTTTGTTCCCACATCAGGCAATGTAATCTAGAAAATCATAGGTGTGCCAGGGGCTTGGGTCCTATATGATTTTAAAGTTTATAAAGTGACAATTAACATTAACCATCACACTTCTTGAAAGTTTGTTATAGAAAGAAAAGAATTTTGTGCGTGTCTGTGACAGGCGACATGGTGGCTAGTTAGAGCTGCTTCTAGAACATGTGACATCCTTCTTATTTCATTGCCTACTGACATTCTCCAATAAAAATGGTAACGTTAATGTATTAGTACAACAAACTGCCCATAATCAGCCCTGTCTTAAGTTTTGTGTCTAATTGCTGTGACAAAATTCCTAAGAAATGTTTTGTTTTTCAGGATTTATTTTTTGTTACTTATTTGTGTGTATGTCCCACCAAGAGAAGCCAGAAGAGGGCGTTAGGTCCTCTGGAGTTACAGGTGGTTTGTGAGTCGTGTGATGTGGCTAGGTAAAATACTATAATCAAAAGCAACTTGGGCGGGCGGTATTATTTCACAGTTCTGCAGTCCCGTCACTGAGGGAAGTTAGGGCAGAAACTTTAATAAACAGGAACCTAGAAACAGGAATTGATGCAGAGGCCATGGAGGCATCTTGGTCCCCGTGGCTTATTCTGCTGGTTATTTTTATAGCATCCAGGATTAACTGCCCAGGGGTGGTACCATCCACAGTGAGCTGGACCCTTCCACATCAATTATTAGTCAAGAAAATATATTGCAGGTTGGTCCACAAATCAATCTGATGGCGGTATTATATTATTATTATTATTATCACCATCATCATTATTTTTGAGACAGGGTCTCACTATGTAACACGACTGTCCTGGAACTCACTATGTAGACCAGGCTGGCTTCAAACTCACAGAGATCTGCTTGCCCCTGCCTCTCAAGTGCTGGGATTAGACATGTATACCACTATGCCCAACCCTAGGGGCAAATTTTCAGTTGAGGTTACTTCTTCCAAGATGACTCTAACTGGTGTCAAGTTGACCTAAACTAGCCAGCATTTTGGTCCTCACAAGAACAGCAAGTGCTCCTGGTCCCCGAGCCATCTCTCCAGCTTCCTTAAGAAGAAATCTTGGGGGAGGATAGACTACTTTGGCTTATAGTTCCTGGATCCAGAGCTTCATGGCTAAGAAGGCACTGCACGAAGAGCTTGAGGTCCCTCATCACTCTGGGTCTCTCATCAGGAACTAGCGATGAATGCTGGTTCTCTAATCCCTGTGTTTTCTCAATATATTGGGTTCTAAGCTGTTTCTGATGAGCTTAAAAACATTAGCGAGAATTCTGAGAGAAAGTAGGTATGATAAAGGTAGTGTGTAATTGATATCGACTGTTGGGAAAGCTACTTTATTCTTTACAGTTGGGCAGTGGGAGGAGTCCCACTGAATAGTTGCAGATACCAGGAGAAATAGAATTGCCTTCTTCCACATTACTAAGAACATGCAGTCTCAGGGTAGCTGTTTTTGACTGGGTTTGGGGCATTAGGTAATCAGAATTCATTGTAGCTGTCGAACCAATGACCAAAGAGAGGTTAGCACAACCCATCTGAACAAGGATGGGCCTGTCCTGTTGTGGCTTTATCAGATAGCCCCAGTCTACCGTCAGAATCGCTGTGTGGGAGTTTCTTAGTGTGTGTGAGATGTAATTGTGATGACCAGTATAACTTAATGCACATAGAACATTGAATCTTAACAATTTCTTAGTTAAGATTAGCTCTACAGTATTTTGAGACTCACACTTCTTTGTGGAAATGTACGTGGGCTCTTTTTAGGAGTCAGTGACCTTTGAGGATGTGGCTGTGAACTTCTCCCTGGAGGAGTGGGCTATGCTGAATCCATCCCAGAAGAACCTCTACAAAGATGTGATGCAGGAAACCTTGAGGAACTTGGCCTCTATAGGTAAGTATGTCATCATTCCTTTAATTAGTCAATCAAAGAAAAAGTGTTTCTGCATGAGTTTAAGTGTGGTAAAGAAACTTTTGAGTGAATATGTGAGATAGATTACTTTTTAAAAAAAAGTTTATTTTATGTGCATTGGTGTCTTACCATGGGTGTCGGGTTCACTGGAACTGGAGTTACAGACAGTTGTGAGTTGCCATGTGGGTACTGGGAATTGAACCCAGGTCCTCTGGAGGAGCAGTCAGTGTTCTTAACCACTGAGCCATATCTCCAGCCCCCAGGAGATAGGTCACTTTTTATTGTAAATTTTGCTAGAATCTCTTAACATCTTTACTATGATGTCATAATTTACAATGATTTCGCTTGGTTTGTGTTTTAGGAAGCAGTTTGGGGCATCATGTCATTGAAAATATATATCGAAATTCCTGGAGAAAACTAAGGTAATATGGACCTCAAGAGACAGCCATGTTCCTCAAGAGTTGTATGCTTGCACATTTTGTAAAGTAGTAAAAGACATGTGTATATCTAGTTTCAAACTCAATTGTTCTCTGGAAATTTTCTTCAAAACTGGAGACACATTAAACATTAAACATTCTGAAAACATTGTAAGGATTCCACTCCTGGAAATAATTGGAATATCATGATTGCCTGAAGTGATTTTTATCATACTTCATATCTATTAACTTTGCACCATGCAATATTATTAACATTTAAATATTGACTTATCCACAAACCTTTTATATTGTATACGATATATATGGTACAAAAAGCAGGTCTCCTTTTAGGCTTAGACTAAATATCACAATCTCCTTGTGGACTTTTGTAACATGAGGTCCTGCTTATTGGGGTTTCTGTCTTCCCGGTTCCCACAGCTGTTTAGCCCCAAAGAATCACACAGAAGTCTCCATAAGATTATAAACTGATTGGCCCTTTAGCTCAGGCTTCTTATTAGCTCTTGTAGCTTATATTAACCCATTATTATTATCTATGTTATCCATGTGGCTCAGTACCTTTTTCAGCGGGGCAGGTCACATCCTGCTTCTTCAGTGATCTGGGCAGGAGTGCAGAAAGAGCTTCCTGCTTCCCAGAATACTCCTGTTCTCATTGCCCCGCTTCTACTTCCTGTCTGGTTGACCCGCCTATACTTCCTGCCTGGCCAGTCAGCGTTTATTTAAAACATGATTGACAGTGTATTCTGACAGTTCTCCCGCACTAGACTTTCAAGTAGTTCATGTAACATGATTGTGGTCATTTGTACAGTGCATCAAGATTGTACAGTATTGAGAACTGAATATGTTGTTAATGATTTACAAATACACTTTTATTTATTTTTCATTAGTTTAGCCCTATGAAGGGTACAGTATCATTTGGATTCTGTGTCCAGTGGCCTTTGCAGCAAGTTTTCTTCACAATTTGACTTGAAGTATGCCACTGTTTCATAGAGCTGAGTTACCTTCGTTTTTCTTCCAGGAGTCACTGTGCTGCTGTTTTGCTTTACACATGTATGCACACCTCTTATCTAAGTAATTTGCCCTTTAGAAATCCTATTTAGAGCAGGCCTTTTCAGGTGCCAAGATGGCATCAAGAATTGAAATATATATTTTAGTGTGACATAAGACATGTTTGCTAAGCCAGGCGATGGTGGCGCACGCCTTTAATCCCAACACTCGGGAGGCAAAGGTAGGTGGATCTCTGTGAGTTCAAGGCCAACCTGGTCTACAGAGCTAGTTCCAGGACAGGCACCAAAGCCACAGAGAAACCCTGTCTCGAAAAAAACAAAACAAAACAAAAGACGTGTTTGCTATACATGTAAATGATATAATACAACCGCCTGTGACTACCACTGTTTTTGTTACCGTTGTCTTCAGAATTGCTGAAAGCATTCAAGCAAACGCGTAAAAAAAAAAATAACTTTCAACTTTGACAGCATAGAGCCAGCATGTCTACTGATAGCTAGTTAATAAATATCAGTGACGCATGTTTGCTCTCTTACAGTGGCCAAGTGGTGGAGGGACTCTATGACTATAAAGACGATCATCAGTGCGCAGAAATCTTTGACTTCACTACCCAGAGCATTCTACACCAGAACCCCTTCCCAGGAGTGCATATATGTGAAAACAGCGGGTGTGCAAGAGTAGTCATTGGCCATTTATCTCTAAGCGTGCTCCTTAAGCCTGACACAGAGCGTGAATCCTATGAAGAGCAGGACTACGGAAAGGGTTTGTACAACACTGTGGAGTTTGGAGCCTCCTCCAGTTCTCTCCCACCCTTTGAGAACCATGAGAGTACTTACACCCTGGAGAGACTGTATAAAAGTGAGAACTGTGATGAAGACTATAGATACGGTCAAAATGTTGAAAAGACTTTAGCTGAAGAAAAGCCCTTCCAGTGTAAGCAGTGTGGGAAAGGTTTCAGTTCTTCAAGGTACTTTCGGAGGCATGAGCGACGCCATCGTGCGAAGAAATCCTATATATGTAAGCAGTGTGGGAAAGCTTTTGCTTTTCCCACCTACCTACAAACCCATGAAAGAATTCACACTGGGGAGAAGCCCTATGTGTGCCTGCAGTGTGGGAAAACCTTTGCCCACTCTCGCTCCCTTAAAACACATAAAAGAACTCACTCTGTTAGGGACCTCTTTGTGTGCAATTACTGTGGGAAAACCTTACGTCATTATAGTTCTCTTCAGATTCATACCAGAATTCACACTGGAGAGAAACCTTATGTATGTAAGCCATGTGGCAAAGCCTTCATTACTTACCGTTCTTTTCGTATCCATGAACGAATCCACACCGGAGAAACGCCTTACGAATGTAAGCAGTGTGGAAACACCTTCATGCGTTGGATTCAGTTACGAAAACATGAAATAATTCACAGTGGTGTGAAACCCTATGCTTGCAAGCTATGTGGAAAAAGCTTTACGTGTTCTGGTTCCCTGAGAACACATGAAAGAATTCACACTGGGGAGAGGCCTTATGTATGTGACCAGTGTGGGTATAGCTTTACTCGGCTGAATTCACTTTTAAGACATAAAATAACCCACACTGGTGAGAAACCCTATGTGTGTAATCATTGTGGGAAAACTTTTCCTCGTTCTGCTTCTCTTCAAAGACATGTAAAAATTCACACGGAGGAGAAACCCTTTGTATGCAAGCAGTGTGGGGTTGCCTTCACTACTTCCACTGACCTTCTAGAACATGAGCAAACTCACGTGGATGAAAAGCCTTACGTGTGTGAGCAATGTGGGAATGCCTTCGTCCTCTGGAGTCAGTTTCAAAAACATAAAGCACTTCACAGCGTCCCAGTTTCTTATATTTGTAAGCAGTGTGGGAAAAGCTTCACTTCCTCCAGGTCACTGAAAACACATGAAAGAATTCACACTGGTGAGAAGCCCTACGAGTGTAAGCAGTGTGGGAAAACCTTTCTTTGGTCTTATTCCCTTCAAAGACATGAAAAGACTCATAGTGATGGGAAACCCCACGTGTGCAAACAGTGTGGGCAAGCTTTCGCATATTACAGTCATCTTCAGGTGCATGAAAAAATACACATTGATGATGAACCTTATAATTGTAAGTACTGTGGGAAACCCTTCTTCACTTTGAACCATTTACATAGACATGAATTACTCCACACTACCATGGATTCCAATATTTTTTAATAATGAATGAGCAAAAAAAAAAATTGGCTTGGTGGCTTTCCAAAAAATAAGCAAAATCACACTGGGGGTAAAAGCTGGGTTTGTGCTAGCAGTGTGGAAAAACCTTTTGCTTTGTTTCATGGAAACAAACATGAAGTGCCACAATGGAGAGAAACTTTTTGTAAAACTCAGTATGCAAATGGTTTTTGTGCTTAAAGTTCCCTGAAGTCCATGAAAGGACAACAGGCCTGTGACTGCGAGTGATGTGGTGAAGCCTTCTGCAGTCCCAGATCATGGAGGAGACATGAGAGAGCTCTAGAGAAACTTTTTACTTGTATATGTGGTGTTGTAAAAAAGCCCTTCACTTCCCTGTTCCCCTTGACTACATGGAAGGAGTCACGACGGAGAGAAACCCTTCATATATGTAGGCGATCTTTGATACTCTTCAATTACCATCACATTCTCTCACAGACATGAAAGAACCTACGGTAGAGAAACTTTCAAACTAGGATTTGTGAACTCTTCATTATCCCAATAGCACTCACAAAAATGTATGTGGGGAGAATTCCTGTCAAAGGAAAACGAGTATGGACACCACTTGGTTCAACTAAGAGATAAGGAAAGAACCTGATATGAAGTGTTGATTTGCTTGAAAGAGATGTTCAAGGTTTCGTTTGGCACACATGGAAACAAAACATACCAGATGAAAACCTCTGCTGTTGAAAACATTGAAAGTCTGGAATAGTAGTGAATATAGGAAAAGTTCTTTGAAATCTTTTCATATTTAATCTGATAAATGTCAGTATTATGAAGGACTGGACATAATTTTTTTTGTTTTTTGTTTTTCCTTGTAGCATGCTCCAGGAAATGCATACACTGAAAAGAATGTTGTCAGTACAGTATTTTGTATTTATTGGAAAATTTCAGGGGCTGATAGGGATGGCTTAGCCTTTAAGAGCATTTGCTGCTTTTCCAAAGGACCTCCAATTTGGTTTTCAAGCACCTGATCACAGGACTCACAGCTGCATGTGACTCCAGTTCCTGGAGATCCGATTCTTCCCACATACATGTGACATAGGTTCACATGTACACATAAAATTTAAATTTTTCTCGAGCCCCTCTTCCCGCCCAAGAAAAGCTTTTGCTATGTATTCCAGGTTTCCCTGGATCTGGTAATCTTCCAGCTCCTAACTCTTTTACGCTTAATGAAAGTTGTCTGCTTCCACATTCGCAGCCATTGACTCCTGTTCAACAGTTCATCTCTTGACTCATTTCTAAATCTTACTCTCCAAAGCAAGCCTTAGGCAGAGCGTTGTGTAATGTGGAATGGCAGCTAAAACCCATGAACTGGAGACCAGAAAGACCTACATATGAAAAAAGTAGAAAGTGCATTCTCTTAAATTATTTTGTGAGGTTTCTTAAAGCAATCATGTGTTAGTTTAATGAGTGATGTCTTTTTGTATCAAATAAGGTGGGCGCTTCCTTCATTGTACATTATGTTGAATTTATTGATGAATTGATATTTGAAATATGCCAGTCCATAAATACCTTTAAAAAGCATTTTAGTATCTATGTATGTGTGTAAGCAAGAAAAAGAGAGTAGGTATGTGCTTGTAGAGGCCAGAAGACGGTGTTATATCCTTTGGAGCCATCTGACAGATATTACAGATATCTGACATGGTTGATGTGTGTGATAGGAACTAAATCCTAATCTTCATACTAGATCAGTAAGTACTCTTAACTGCTGAGCCTTCCCTCAAGCTCCTGCGTAAATCATGTTTAATGGGTGGTTAAAATATGACTTGGTGAATATTGGAATAGTCCTATTGGTTTCATTTGCCTGATTTTTCTATACTCTCATTTTTCATGACAAAAAAAAAACAACTTGGGAGCATTGCTTATGTGTTGATGGTATGGTTTATGTGTTGGTGGTGTTCACAAAGAAATATTTTGGGTGTCTTACTCTATTGCTATGTTATTCCCCCAAGACCAGTCTCTTTGATCCTGGAACTAGACAGGCAACCAAGAAAACCCAGCATTTCTTGTCTCTTCACTCCCCGTAGTGCTGGGTGGACAGACACATTCAGTCATTCCCAGTTTTTGTTGGTAGGGAATGAAACTTGAGTCCTTACAGCAAGTGGTCTTTACCCAGCCAGCCTCCTCCTCAGGTATAAACTACTTTCAAATTGATTTCATCTCTTGTGTTTATGTTTCTGATGTCTTCTCACAGTCTTTAAGTACGTGTTCTTTCAACTTTGAAGTATTTTCAAAATCCTTTTAGAATAGCAAATGTAAGGGTGTGTTTAGTTTTGTTTTTCCTAGTCAGAAGGTATGTGTAAGTATATTGTAATCATAGGTCACTTTTCCAAGTTGGCTTATTTTTTTACTTTTGAGAATTTCATACATGTATACAATAAAAGATGATCATATGTATTCGCTATTTCTCCTTCTAACTCTCCCTATATTTTCCGTAATTCCCTTCTTGTAGCTTTATGTCTTTTTAATTAACCTACTAGGTCTCATTAGCATTGCTCATACATGCATGGGTATGGGGCCATCCACTGGAGGATGGGTGACCTACCGGTAGTTACGTCCTCACAAATGATTCTTCTCACCCCAGCAGCTATTCACTGCCGGTAACTTGTCACTAAGGGGCGGGGCCTGGAGATAACCTAGCCCATCTATCCTGGGATTTTGGACTGCTTAATTTTATAGGTTGTGTGCATGCAGTCACGTGGTGCTATGAGTTCATGATCCTAGTAACCATGTCAGAAGCCCCGGCACTTCACAGTTTTCCCCGCCCTTTAGTTCTTGCATTGTTGCTTCTTCTTTGGCTTTCCCTGAGCCTTGGTGGGGATTAATATAGCTGTCTCATTTAGAGGTAAATAGTCAGTCTGTTCCTAGTCCTTTGACCAGTTAGGCATCTCTCCCTTGACAGTTCTCCACAGTACAAAGAAGCTATTCTGACCAAAATTGAGAGTAGCCAAGGTGTGTTGATGCCAAGAGCTGAGTGGATGGTGGAAACATGGGGGTTTTTTGGAGTTGATGATGCTGTGTAGCCTTGGTTAGCCTGGAACTTTCTCTGTAGGCCAAGCTGTTATCAAATTGCACTTAGTTTTGTTTTTTTTATGTCATGAACTATTTGTGTGTGTGTGTGTGTGTAATTATGAAATTTCACTGTGTGAATTTTGCATTTTTGTTGTAATTTCTCTAGTCATTCACTAAAGGATATACTGATCTTACTGCCTTCTTGCCCCAGACTGTGTTCAATAAATTCTACTAACTCACTCCATACATGACACGTGAGTGGCTCATCTGTAAAAGGATTCTCCCTAGATGTTTTAATTAGGGGGTCTTACAAGGATTGATTCTGCACTTAGGTATCCCCCATCTTGGGTGCGGTGAGGGCAAATGTAATTCTGCTCTTGTAATCACAGCAGCAGTTACCCAGAAGACCGCAATACTGGAGTTCTGGGTGATGTAGTTTGCGAGATGTGCTTGTCAGTGCATCAGTGAGTAGCAGGCACTTCCACGATTCAGAATGTGTTATGGTTTTTCAGCTTACGGATGTCCTTATAGAATGCCCTTCTGTCAGTCATTACGGAGCATTTCTCATTGGTGGAGACTTGTGACATGGCCTATAGTGGCAGAAGATGTGGCCTTGCTGAGTGAGGTGAACTAGTGTTTGGATTGTTTTTGCATTTCTTAGTTTCTATATAAACACTAATGTTTAATACGATGGATGCAGTTATCCACAAATGTAGGTGTTCCTAGAGTTTCCTTCTTTAGGGTTACATTATGACAAGCCCATAGTAAAGTGAAAAATACAAGAACAGCACTTTACATTCACCCTAGTGATCATCGAACCTCAGACTAGTCTACACCAACATTTTTGGACCAACTTACATTTTTCTAAAGTTGGGGAAATTTTCGTTTTCTTTATATTTAATTTTTAAAAAATGTTTTAAAATTAGTGCATATGTTGGCATAATTATAGGTTTTGTCCTGACATCGTGGCCCAGGTTTCCATGTACTTTAACCATAATCACTCTCTTGTTCCCTTCCTTCTCTCTAGTGGGCCTGTTCTCTCTTCACAAACTCACTTATGGTTTCGTCTCTCTCATTTGTTCAATCTAGATTCTGTTCTGTATACAGGGAGCACCATTTGGGGGCTGTCATTTATGTGGTGATTTCCAGTTCCATCCATTTTCCTGCCAAGTTTTCTGTTGAGTTCTCAGTGACCTGTTATAGTCTACATTTTATGTATGCCACATTTGAAATTTTTTAGTTTCTCTATTGATGGGCACTTAGGCTGATTCTGTAATTGAGTACTAGGAGGAGGAGTATATGAACCTGTATACAAGTATGCATAGTGTAATCTGACTTTGATTCCTTTTGCTGTGTCTACTAAACAATAGTAAGCAGGATCATAAGATTTTGAGTTTTTGATGAAACACTTACTGTTTTTCAGAGTGCATATGCTAATGTACATTTCTAGGAGCAGCCATGCAGTCTCACCAGCTTGTTTTAGTTTGGGTCTTTGATAACTAATCACACTAGGTGAACTTAATTGTATTGAGAATATCATGATCCATTGTTTGAGAACTGATTTCATGATTTATTGTTTGAGAATATTTTGTGATTGTTTGAGAACTGATTTCATGATTTATTGTTTGAGAATATTTCATGATTTATTGTTTGAGAACTGATGGATTCCCTGTGTATTGATTCAGTTGCTTGTTGTTTGCAATGTGTGTGTGTGTGTGTATTTTCTGTACATTAATGTATAAAATGTACTCATTAAGATGAATGAGTGTCCAAGGATAGTTCCCCCATCCTGTAGCTTTCTCTGACAGTTGATTCTTTTTTCTGTGTAAAAACTCTTTTATCTTCATGCAATGATTAAATTTGGTTTTTTTGTTTGTTTGTCTTTAACATTCTTGCTATGGAGGCCTGGCTGGCCTGGGATTTGCTGCATGTACCAGGTTAGCATCTAATTTACAGCAGTCATCCTGCCTTTGGTTTTTGGGTGTCAACATTGTAATCCTGAGGCTCTCATGGCTATTCCCTATTTGCCATTCTTCCTGTAAATTCTTACATTCAGAATACCATTGTCTGTGCTCCCAGCTTTATGTATTCTTTAGATTTTCCTCTATGAGTTACACATTTTTTAGGCCTTATGTTAAGGTCTTCGGTTCAGTTTGAGTTGTCTTTTGTACAGAATGCTAGAAGCACTTAGGGATATTCTTGTGCATACAGTGTTGTTTTCCTTGTTGAAGAGGCCATTTATTATACTATACATGGTTTGGATGCCTTTGCTGAAATCAGAAGATTGCAGCTATGTGGTTGTTTGGGCACTGTACTCTTCCATTGTTCTATGTGTCTGCTTTTACATTATACTGTTTCACTATGGTTTTATAGCATAATTTGAGTATTACGATAACTCTAGCTAGCATTGCTTTTTGCTCAGTGTTACTTTGACTATTTGGGGTGTTTTGGTTTTCTTACAATTACAGGATTGTGTTTTCTATTTCTGTAAATAATGACATTGGAGTTTTGATAGAGGGTTGTGTGAAGTCTGCAGAACACATTACACTTTCTCATATTATAATGGTGCTGATTTGTGAGTATAGGGATGTTTCCCATTTTTCAAAGAAGTCAATTCTTAAGTGTTTTTAAATTGTCATTGTGTACCCCTTTCACTGGCTTGACTAAGTTTATTTATTCATAGATAAATTTGACTTTTTGTCTTATAACTTATTTCCTAGGCTTTTGGAACATTTTTTTCCTTGATTATTTTATTACTGTTTTCATTGTCATATAAACAGCTACTGATTTTTCTATAGTGACTTTATTGTACTACTTTGCTGAAGTAGTGATCAGATGTAGTCTTTTGGTGTGGCTGCTTGGGTCTTTTAAAAATATAATCACAGGAACTAGAGAGATGACTCAGCAGTTAGGAGCACCGGCTCCTCTTCTAGAGGCCTGAAGCCTGTTTCCCCAGCACCTACATGGCAGCTCACATCTGTAACTCCAGTTCCGTGGGATCCAGCTCCCTTTTCTGGTCTCTGGGCACCAGACATGCACATGATACACAGACATACATGTAGGCAAAATAGTTTTTTTAAAAGATGATCATATTGTCTACAAATAGAGATTTGATTTTTTTTCTTTTTTTGGTTTTTTGAGACAGGGTTTCACTGTAGTTAGTTAGAGCCCGTCCTGGAACTAGCTCTTGTAGACCAGGCTGGCCTCGAACTCACAGAGATCCACCTGCCTCTGCCTCCCGAGTGCTGGGATTAAAGGCGTGTGCCACCACCGCCCAGTGAGATTTGACTTCTTATTTCACTTCCTTTTTCTTTCCTTATGTTCATGACTGAACTGAGGAGATCGTGTGTGGTGGGCAAGTGCTGGACCACTGAACTGCAGCCCTGTACTGAATCCCTTTCCTTTCTTTTCCCTTATTTTTCCAACTGAGAACTCAAGAGATGTATATTACAGTATAGGGAAGGTGGACACCTTTGTGCTAGTCCTGATTGACTTTAGTTTTCCTGTTTGGTATAATCTTGGCTCTGGTTTTGTCGTGTATAACTTGTTACAGTGAGCTGTGTTCCTTTTCATAGTCTTTTCAGGACTGTATCATCAAGGGACATTGAACTTTGGGCAGACTTCACTTCTCCGTGTAGTGCAGTGATGGGGGACTTCAGTCCTTGAACATCTATATTCTATCTGTGGAAACTCATATGCAAAGAATGAAATCAACCTGATCATAGTTTGTGGTATTTTTAATATGTTGAATTTGTTTGAAAGTATAATTTTGAGGGTTTTGTTTGTTTTTGATCTGTTTTCATCAAGGGTGTTTTTTTTTTTTTTTGTATTTTTCTTTGTTGTTGAGCCCTTCGTGATTTTGCTATCAGGGTAATACTGCCTTCCAAGAATAAATTTATTCCAAGAATAAATATAAAGTTTAGTCCCTTTATATTTAGTGAAATAGTTTAAGAAGCTTGGTTGAATTCAGTAGTGAATTCATTAAGTCCTATATTTTTCCTTTTGGGGACAAAATTCATTACTAGCTTAGTTATGTTGCTCTTTTACATTGGTCTCATTCTCTTCATTTTTTCTTCATCTGTTCATTTTATTTTGTTACTGACTTGAGAATTTTATGCGTGCATTTTGATCAAGCCCACCTATTCCCATTCCTTGCCTTCGAATTCTTCTATCCCCGTCACCACTTTTCCCGCTCCATTTCCATTTGCTTTCTTCCATGTTTAACCTGTAGAGTTTCCTTAATGCTGCAGTGTGTGCATGGGTGCAGGCCCATCCACTGTCGCAGGAATAGCCTCTCCCTGAAGAAAACTGACACTTCCTCTCCCAGCAGTCACCAGCTGTCAATGGATACTCAGGGGCGGGGCTTTCTAAACACCTCCCCCTTCCATGCCTGGATTTTTGTCTGGCTAGAGCTTGCATGCAATCACAGCTGTTGTCAGTTAGGAAGTATGTGCAACTGTCCTGTTAGGTGAGAACACATCATGTGACTATAATAATCCACTGGCTCTGGCTCTTCCAGTCTTTCTGCTTCCTCTTTCAATAATGGCCCCAGGTCCCCTGAGAGAAGGGATTTGATACAGATACATGTCACATTTAGGGGTGAGCCCTCCATAATCTCTTTTTCTCTGTATGATGACCAGCTGTGAGTCTGTCAATTGCCATCTACTGAAAAACAAAGGACAAAAACCAAACAAACAAAATACCCAGGCTCATGATAAAGGTTGAGAGAGAGAAATTTTTCTATGGGTGTTAAGATACCCAGAAGAGATGGATTTAGCACCATGTCCTTTTAACAGAATGATAGTAGAAAGTTCTCCATATTAATGGTGCCAGGCATGAGTTCCATCTTGTGGAGTGAGTCAAAAAGTGATTGGTTATTCCAACAACATTCATGCCATAGCCATGGTCATATCTTGTCAGACTGGTTATCATTGTAGACCAGAAGGGTCTCAGCTGGGTAGGCTTCCTGCAGAGTCTTCTCCTCTGGTAGTAGGCACAGCCATTTCAGCACCATGAAGGCTAGCAATAGGATGAAGCCTCTAGGTCAGAATAAACTTGATTTCTTCATGTTCTGTGACTCAGTAAGTGGTGTCTTCAGTAATATTGTCTTATCATCAAGTTCTGTGTGGTAACCAAGGACAATAGCAATAGCCTATAATATTGGGGAAGTTGTCTATGGGACTCCACCTCGACTTAATTTTGATATTTCATAACTGTCTTGAAATTATCCTTGATTTTTCAGTTTGTGATAGCAGCTTTCAAAGTATCCTCAAATCATCCTCTGCATTTTATTTCCTGTGTATTATAATGTCTCCCTTTCAACCCTAACTTTATTCATATGAATAAATGAATAAAACATAAGATAATAAACAGCAAAGTACTTAATTAAAATTTTGTAAATATTATGACTGCCTGAAAATTGCGTAGGGAGCAGCTATAGGGTTGGTTTTTTTTTTTATTTTTTTCTTTTTTTTGGCGTGGTCACCCTTCCTTGGTGTACTTTTTGGTGGTCACCCTTCCTTGGTGTACTTTTTGGTGATGCAACTGACTTTGAGTCATTCATATGCCTGTAAGTAACCCCTCATTCATACTCCTGTAAGTAAATCTCAATAAAGTTATTGTTCTCCACGTTGGTCTTTGGTGGGATCATTGCTTTGGTGTGATGCTGGATTCTTACCAGTAGTAAGTAGCCATTTGTATTCTCCCACATTGTGTTCTCTGATAATGGACTCTTCTAGGGAGGAAAAACGGGAGTCCAAGCAGGACCCCTTGCCATTCTATCCTTTAAAACTGTCTCGTGGCATCTAAGGACAACCAGGTCAGAAGTTAAGTGTTAGACCTGCATGACGGCTCAAAGCATAAAGAGGCACTGGCCGTGAGGCCCAAAGACCCAACTCTGATCTCTGGTAGCCACATTGTGGAAGGAAAAAAACTACCTCCTGCAAGTTGCCCTTTCACCCACCTCCATTCACACAAATAAATGTCACTTAAATGGTTTTCAAAAGTCAGTTCGGCCAAGGAGCATCTTCGTTTTAGAGTTTTCCCTTTGCGTGGTCAGAGCTGCTGTCAGAGCCCGCACTCCAGCACACTTCGCGACTTCCTTGTTGAGCCTTGCCCGCCTCAGTTCAACACCTAACGAGAACAAATGTCCAAACGCCAAGGTTCGCCCCAGTGCTTTAGTGAGTGGAAAAAGTAAACTGAGCACTGACAGAGGAGGCAAACCGAGGAAACCTGCTTCTGTCTGCCAGCCCGAACTTTTTCTTTGTTTTGTTTTGTTTTTTGAGACAGAGTTTCTCTGTAACAGCCCTTGCTGTACTGGAACTTGCTATGTACACCAGGCTGGCCTCGAACTCACAGATAACTGCTTCTGCCTCCTGAGTGCTGGGATTAAAGGTATGTGACACCACCACCCGGCTGGTCTCTGTGCTCTTTACAAAAGCACTCTTCCTATTCTGAGGAAAGAGGAGATGGGAAACTGATCACCCCAGGATGTGGGCTCAGGTTTAGTTTCAATCACAAACCATGTGTGCCATGGTGTCAGCTTCAGAGAATCAATCACTGGCTGCAGGCTTGGGTTTATAAACTCTTACAGTAATACTTGGGCCAACTCTCCATAGTTCATAGGTCCCTTCTCAAGGGTATCATGGGAAAACTAGCATATAAAAGCTGCTAGCATCAAGCCTGATGACCTGAGTTTGGTCTCTGACCCACATAGTGCACATAGGCTCCCAAAAGTCGTGCGGCCTCCATACTCAACTATGGCCCCTGTATTTGTACGTACATGCACACTAAATACACACAAAACATAATTTAAAAGAAAATTTTGTCTTTTTTTTCTTTTTTTCAAACTAATGGTTTATATGAGCGAGTCCATAGAGACTTACACCTTGTGTTCCTACTGATTAAGAACTTTTTGTCTCAAGGGAAAATGAGTAGTTCTATTTCTCAGTTTCTTCACTCTGGATTGACTTAATTTGATCTTATGTGTCCCAGAATGAGAGACTTCTTCATTGTATAAAGTTCTCCTGAATTTGAAATATTTGGATGCAGTGTATTCTCTAAATATAGTTTCCTAAAATCAGATCACAGTAAGACCTTCAGGACTGGAAAAATGGCTCAACTTAGCATTTACAAGTGCTTGTTGCTTGTCTGAAGGACGGGTATGGTTCCCAGCACCCATGTCCGTTCACAACTGCCTTGAACTTTAGGGTCAGTGGGTCTGGCACCCTCTTCTAGCCTTTAGGAGCATCCGCACATATGTGGCATTTAGACAGACACACATATAGAAATGAAATCTTTAAAAAACAAAAAACCAAAACCCTATCATACTGAATCATAGTTTTTCCTTTTTTTTGTTTTGTTGTTTGCTTGTTTATTTTTTTGGCTTGTTTCTTTATGTAACAACCCTGGCTGTCCTGGAATTTGCTCTGTAGACCAGGCTAGCCTTGAACTCAGTGATCTGCTTACCTCTGCCTCATGAGTGCCGGCATTAAAGGCATGCACCACCATGCCTGACTCCCTGTTTGTGTATTAAAGACCAGGCCTGATGTTTCTCTTTCCTCACTTCCATCCCACTCTCTTCTTTTATGTGAATCTTCCTGTGAATTCCAAGGTTGGGATCTCAGGAAGGGCTCCCTGTATTTATCCAATCTGTACTCTATATCCTTTGCATCCTGCTAGGTATTAAGAAATGCCAAATTAGCCAGGTGTGGTGGCACACACGTTTAATCCTAGCAATTGGGAGGCAGAGGCAAATCAGATCACTGAGTTTGAGGACAGCCTGGTCTACAAAGCAAGTTCCAGGACAGCCAGGACTGTTACACAGAAACCCTGTCTTAAAAAACAAAACAACAAAAAATGTAAAACCAGCATCAGCCCCTTTTAATTTTTTTCTACTTTGTCTGCCAAGTAATAGGCTATTTCAAAGGATACATGCATGTTCTTTCTCCATTGTTGTCCAATTTCCTATTTACATATGCATGTTATTGGGTTTTGGAGCGGGGAAGGGGGTAGTGGGTTGGGCAGACAGCTCAGTCTCAATTCCATGTCTAAATGCACATAGTAAAGTTACTGCTGAGAGAACCTTGTTAGGTTTCCTGCCTTTGCACGTTACTAGTAGGAACTGCAGTATATTCTTTGGCCCGTCAGTTTTTTTGAAGCACCTGTTAGTGTGTGTGGCGTGGGTGCATATGGATAGCCAGCTGCGCATGCTCAGGTATGCAGAGGGGAAAAGTCGACCTCCAGGGCTTCCTCAGGAGTTGCCAACTTTATTTTTGTGTGATAGATTCTTTCATGGGTGTTGTGATACTTTGTTTTTGTTCTGGCAAATAAAGCTTGCCTGGAGATCAGAAGGTGGAGCTAGCTACTAATTAACCATAGAGTTCTGGAGGTCTGTCCAAACAGACAGGAAGTGATAAGGTGGGGGCAGATAAGGAGGAGTCAGAGAACTAAGAGGTAGATGCGGTTATTCCTTTGTTTCTTTGATCTTTCAGCTTTTACCCCGATATTTGACTATGAATTTTTATTATTAAGGCTAATTAGGATAATGCTGCGTTTTATTTGGTGTCCAATTTTTTGGGGCACAAATTTATGAAAAAGCTGCTGGCCTGTGGCTTTGCAGCCTCTGCCACGGGCGAGAGCTGCACGGGACTGGAGCCATTGTCCTGCTGGCTAGGTTTTTCTTTTCTTTTCTCCAGCCCCTCTGAGCGAGTCTGAGATTTTTCTGTTGCAGCCTCTCTGCAGCAAACTTCCCAGGGCCTTGGGCTCCAAAAGGTGCAGTGTTAGCCCCTCTAGTCAGCTCCCGCTCCACATACTTCTTCCCCACGATTGCCTATGTGCGTTACTCAGACAGCAGGTTCCCTCGCCCCGAGGGTTGTGGGCTTTTCCCGGACTCCTCCTTGGCTACTGCCAAGCTAGGCAGCTGCTTTGAAAATGTGCTTTGGCTTCTACTGTTCTATGCAGCAGCAATTAATCTCATACTTCCCAATCATCTTCATTGCCATTGTCAGTAGATTTGGTGAGACAATTGGAAATTCATAAAGGGGGGGATTTTTTTTTTTTTAAAAAAAAGAGGGTTTGGGGGCTGGAGAGATGGCTCAGAGGTTAAGAGCACTGACTGCTCTTCCAGAGGTCCTGAGTTCAATTCCCAGCAAGTGGCGCACAGCCATCTATAATGAGATCTGGTGCCCTCTTCTGGCATGCAAGCATACATGAAAGGAATGTTTTATATATATAATAAATAAATAAATTTTTACAAAAAAAGAGGGTTTTTCCCATGGTAAAAAATGGGACAGATAATTACAATGGAGGGAATTAGATCTGTGTATAATTATACAATAGATGGTTTAAAGATGAAAAAAATGAGAGGATAATTAACTTATGAGATTTACGTAATGTCAATTATAAACATCACTTTCATCATTCTTGTTTTCATCCTAAAAAAGTTGATTAATATGAGTGTGAAGATACAAGTCTTAGAAAAACTTATTAAAACAGATCATAGAGATATTCGGATCTAGACAGAGGGATTTAAAGGAGAACCAATCTCAGCATTGCTTTATAAGGTTAGAGAGGCACAAGGTTTTCAAACAATTAACCTTAATTTATCCACTCACCTTACAGGAAATGCCAAATGACTGGTATCCTGAAGGCAATGCAGGAGCTGAATGGACTCCTGTGGAAATATTAGATTTGAGGAGATTTAAAGAAGTGACAGTCTCATATGATATGCATTCGCCCTTCATGAAGCAGATGTTAAACTCAGGGTCAACTTGTAACAGAATTATCCCACAAGACTGGAGAGACTTGGTTACAGCAGTATTGGAGCCTAGCCCTCAATTTCAATGGAGGATCGGGTGGAAAGATTAGACTAGGATGATTGAACAATGAAGTAGGAATAGAGGCATTAAAATCTCCTAAGACCAATTTCTTGGAGAGGGAAATTATGCTAATGTACAAAGACAGTCTCTATATGAAGAGCACATCCTTGGCTCTATGCCATGCAGCAGTTTCGAATGCTTGGGACAGAATTGAAGAAGTCAGAAAGAGAACTGAAACATTTACTAAAGTTATACATGACCCAAAAGAAAACTTAACTGATTTTTTTTTACAAAGGTTGGCTTCAGCAATAAATAGAATGATACCAAATTTAGAAGTTAGACAAATAGTAATATAATCTCTGACTTTTGAAAATGCTCATTCACAATGCAAAGGGGTAATTAGGCCTTTAAAGGCAAGGTCAGCACCCAGAAAGGAATGGATCCAAAATCAATGAATATTGAATCTCATGACCATTATGGTGTTTAGACAGGAGAAGTGATTTCCAGAGTCTTGAAAAAAAAATCAAAATGTCAGATGTTTTAATTGTGGTAAACAAGGTCCACTAAAAAGGGATTATAAGCAGGGCATTCCTAGAAACAAGGTTATTTCTAAGAATAATCCAAACAGAACACTCCTCCCTTCTGAAGTATGCAGAAGGTGTGGCAAAGGCCAATGTTGAACCAATGAATGTAGATCAACAAGTGACAAAGTAACCCTTTGCCATTGGGAAATACCTTGGTTGACACTCACAGGCCCCCATATCAAATTTGGTTCAGTCATTCCATGTGACCATGGGGGAAACTCTTTCC